TACTGCAAGAAACCCAGCTAGCTCACACCACATGGTCTCATTAAAATTATATTTGATCAAACTACAAGTAGCTTTCCAACTGCAAAGCAGTCAGTCAGACAGCAATATTCTGCAGCTGTGGAAAGCAGGTACTCCCAAATCTCAATATTCACCACTGAGCTTCGGGTCCAAATTGAACAGAAAGATATTTTCCGTCTCTAAGGCCAGGGCTGAGAGATATTTATGAGCTAAAATTCACTGCCAATAATGAAGGTCAGCTGCTCCCATCTTCTGCTGAGCTTGCTTATATATCCCCTAAAAAAAAACCCCAAAACTATATATATATGTATATATGTATCTACCTGCTACTATGGGTATTGATTGCACATACTTATATTGAGCTCTCTGCCTTGTGTGAAATACAGTGCCTTGTGTTTCTGTTTCAGGACACCTTGTCAGGTCCAGTTCCAACATCTGTTTATTTTGTGTTCCCAGTTTTCATGACTGTCTGTAGAGCCTCTGCTCTTCCTACTCCAGTGGCTTACCTCTTTCCAGACCTTGCACCTTTTTTGCAGAGTTCTTGAAAAAGGTAGAAGTGAGAAATTTAAAAAAAAAAAAAAATCAAAACAAAAAATACAAGAGCTACCAGTGCATTTTTTGCAAGTTCTGAATTGCAGAGTTTTCTCCATTTCCAACTCTCTTGAAAGAAGCGGTGGTAGATGCTCTAATAGTGAGGAACATTGGCGAGTTTTCTAAGTCCCTGCTCATACCTGTCACTGGCTGTTTTCTTCTCAGCGGGTGAAGAAATGGGTTGGCACCAAAACATTGGCATAGAACACAGTAGGAAACATGGAAGCCAAGTGTCTCGTGTCATTGCCAAGCTACTTTTGATCCTAAATGCAAATGTAAAATAGTATTCAAGAGATAAGTCACCTGAACTTGCTAAACTGCAGCTCTCCTGACTACCAACAGAGAAGGCAAGCAGCAATATCTAAGCAAATGGGTTAATATCAATCTAATACAGTGACTTAACATGATTGAGCCCCTTAAGTATGACTGCTTTGACTAATGAGTACTTAACTCTTAATTATAGTGTTCAAAGCACTTAATTAAAACACATAATTAAGACATATCACACAGGAAGATCAGCATTATTTTGTACTTGTGAAAACTGGAGAAAGGAAATTACTCAAATAGGGCCACACAAGTGGGTCAACGGCAGGCAGGGATGCAAAACCCAGGCTTTCTAGCTAGGGCATCCTCTCATGGATTGTACCACATCTCTGCAAATATTAGCAGAGGACAGGTTTTCTATTTTTATGCATCTCCTCCAGTCATCAACTATATCGATGCATACACAAAACAGTCTGTGGCGAATCATCTTCCTATGTTGGGACTTCACACTGTATCTCTCTCCCTCACTCACTCTGAGGAAGCCAGGTCTCTGATCAGTCTCATTAGACATTTACCATGTCTAAAACTAGTTTTTTCAAACAGATTTTACAGATTAAACAACTGAATTATGTCACCTAGATTATCATGTCCCTTTTTTTAGAGGCTTGGGATCACTTCTAAAATACTAATTGCTTACCTTAATAGTGAACAAAGAATGGCAATTCACATCAGCTGAGATAGTGGCCTATGGGCTGTATGATATCACTGGTTTTGCAGTGTGTAGTATTCAGCCAGAATGGTCTGATCCATAGCATAAGTATCCAGTAAATAAACACTACATAATTTGACTATGAATAGCATGAACAGGCAGCAGCTATATTGAGAATTTGCTGCTAATAACCTTTATAATTGAAGGGAAATCCCACAATCAGTTTAGGGTTTCCTTCTTTATCCATGGACTTTGGAAGCGTTACTACATTTAATGGCAAACAATACAAATACTATTTCATATTTTTCTGAAAAGTTTTTTTTTTAATGTAGTGCTCTTGATCTTTACCAGCTGTACAGTCAAATTTGGCATAAGCCTGTTTCTTTATGTACAGCCTGCAAACAATGTGGATTGTAAAATGAGCAGGGCACAAACCCAATTTCAATTGCAGGCTGGGATTCCCCTATGCTTTTACAGGGAAATTTGGTTGATAACTGTGTTTGCTATTGGGCAAGGCATGGAGAAGGAAACCATTGTATTTAACCTTTGAATACCAGAATATCATGTGAGGTCTAAAGCCAAGCCATTAAAGTAACGAAGGAGAAATAAATCATAATACATAATAAAAGTTTGTTCCTTTGCCATCATTCAACCCACAATTGTATATTTTCATGCTGTTTAAATTTTCATGTAATACTTGCATAAACATCCAATGTTCTTTTAGTTTTTCCTTTCCTGTACTGAACAGAAGAACAGTTTGTGGTATAGTAATGAACCATAAACTCACAGAATGGTTTGGGTTGGAAAGGACCTTAAAGATCATATGTTCCAACCCCCCTGCCATGGGCAGGGACACCTCCCACTAGACCAGGTTCCCCAAAGCCCCATTCAACCTGGCCTTGAACACTTGCAGGGAGGGGGCATCCACAACGTCCCTGGGCAACCTGTTCAGTGTCTCACCACCCTCACAGTAAAGAATTTCTTCCTAATATCTAATCTAAATCTATCCTCTTCCAGTTTAAAACCATTATGTCTCATTCTATCTCACTACATACCCTGGATATTGCATTATACAAGGCAATGCAAGGATGTCTTGCTGAATACTCACGCTACGATTCAAAAGTTTTAATAAGAGCCGAAATCAAAACAGTTCAGTGTGAATGGTTTGTAGGTCACAAACTTCAAAACAGTTATTTCACTATTTCCCTCTTAATTAAACCAATGCTTTACTCTGATAAGGAGTACCCAAGAAGGTCTAAACTGCTTACAAATATTCAAAGGGCATAGCCACCTTAAAATCTAGTCTGCTGGTCAAACTCAACAGTTTCAGTTATTAAATCTTCTCAAAATGTTCTGATAATACCCATAGCTTGAAAAATGGAGGAAAATGTAGATTAATTACTTTTCATTCCTCTATTGCTTTGTGAAGAACCACACAACCTCATGGTTGACTCTGCACAAAAGAAATCCACTATACAAATCTATGGGAAAACTTCATTAAAAAAAATTTAATTCTCACTTGTAGCAATAGCTGCTACAGAAAACTTCTAATGTTTTAAAATTACAATATCTCATTATCACATTAAGCAAATTGCTAGAAAAAAGGAAATGATTCTTTCCTCTGTGACCTGATGTGCTATAGCAGAAGACAGCATTTATGCAATGCGCATAGACAAAGACAAATTGTAACCCCCGGCTAGCATCCCTATGAAGATCATTGAGTTATAAATTATGGAGAACAAACTGCTCCCTTTTAAAGTAACTCAGGTAGGAATGGGATTGAGGCCACAAACTGTGGTCGGTTATGTATGAAAACTGAAATTACTTCCAAAGGAAAAGGAAGGAGTTTTCTCTAACAAGCTCATCATGAGACTAAAATTCATGTAGCTAAAATGCTTTGCACTATATTGAAAATGCTATGCTGGCAGTAATTTATCCTGTTGAGATCATTATTGTTCCCAGTGAGAAAACATCTTTGTCTCAAAAAGTCATTAATGAATTCAAGATTCTACTGAATATAACTAGCAGAAACATTATGTAGAGAATGTGAACCAAATCCTATCTTTAACATCACAAATGATTGATTGACTCCATTATACTGGAAACAATTCATTTCCCCTGTAATTTAAGAAAAATACACCTTTCTCAGTTATCAGTTATTCAGTACTGTAAAAGTTCCAAAACAAACTCTTAAAGGCAAAGAAAGGGATCCAGTCTACCAAACTTCAGGGTTGTGTCTGTATCTTAGGCATCCAGTGAATCAGTCATCCTAACACACGTGTCTAAGATATGACAGAGAAAGATACCCTTTAAGGTCCTCAGAAGAAAATCCCATCCCCTAGACTGAATCCCATCAAAAAAGGTTGCTATTTCTGTTACATGCTGAGTCTGACACTCACACACTCTGTGGAGGGATAAATTAGAACTGTAAATAATTTCTATTTTAAACTCTCATTGCAACAGACCAAGGAGAATAAATTACTTAAAATGCGTGTGGTTTTGCATTCATAAAAATAAGTACATTAAAAGTATTGAAAAGTGCTCAGGTACATCTAGAGATGAATATTTTAGGATTATATTGTATTATTCTAAAAACATTATCTAAGTGGATAGAGACTACAGAATTTGAACTCAGGAATACTAAACAACTTTAAATATAGAGGTAGGTTTTTCCCTCAATCTAGTATTTTATAAGCATCTTTATTCCTGATATTTTCTAGGATATATGTATGAAATATATAATAAATTACTTTAACACGTACTAACTTAATATTTGGGCAATACCACCACATTTAGACAATCTTTAGTATGTCTCATTGCCTGTCCTAAACACTGACATGTTCAAGCAGAAGTCTGTTCAGACAGTCAAATTCTTTCATGCCATCCATTCCACTTCTCTGTAGCAAGTGCAGTTATCATGCCTTACTGAAAGTCGGATTCCTTGTTATTTTATCCATTTTAAAATTTATCTTTCAATTTACCCTATTCTTAGTTTCAGAATACCGACAAAAGCATAATATCTCCATACCGCCCCCTTGTGGGGATATTTGGAAACATACAAAATTCAAAGCTAATGAAGAGATGGTATGGTTCACACTCCATTTTTATGCACATACATAAGTCATTAAATTTAATATTGCAGTTACATTCATTTCACAAAATGAAAAGCAGGTTTTACTCTTTCTCAGACTTAATTAATTTATTAACAGGAAAGCCAGTGTTTCATATATTCCAAACATAATTAGCAATTTCTGAACCCCCACCCCCCACCCCCCCGTTCATGACAGGAATATAAAGTGAATGTTCATGACAGCTGAAGTATTTTTCCATTTTTACATTCTTGCTTTTCTTACACTTATTTTGGCAGAATACAAGTACTATACTACTAGACAGCAAACAGGAACAAGTAAGAGATTACCTGAGAACATGTAAGTCCACATTCTTCAATCCTGGGAATAATCTGACAATCACAATTCCAAAGCAGAATTATTAGAAGAATCTGAACATGAATACATATCATCCTAGACTGAAAATTAAAAACAAAACCTCAGAAGAAACCTTCTACTCTGACAATTCTCCCTCTCATGTCAAAACTTTAATATGAATTTTAGTCCCTCCCACAGCACCTCTGAGCTCCTCCCTCTAAAACTTTCCAAAGACAGAAAATTGCTAGTTGTGGGAAATATCAGACATGTTCAGCTCATTTCTTATGTTCTGTAGTGAAAAATGGAAAACACAAATTCCTGACAATCACAGTAGAAGCCTTTTCTTCCTGGATTTCATAATGTCAGCTTTAGATCAGTTTTAGCAAATTTCTTTTCTGTAAATTCTATGCATAAACAGGATTTTTGTTTCTAGAGCGATGTACCAATCAGGTTCAGCAAAATCCAAATGCATTCTTACATCTACTAATTTTTCTGGTTTTCTAATGCATTTTTAAAAAAAGAGCTTTTCTGAGGTGGGTAGGTACTCTTGGAAGACTGGTTTCTTTTTTTTTTCATCAGCAGAAAACCCAGATTCTTTTACCCTAGAAACCTGTGCCTTGAACTTATTGCACTTATTATTTAACTGTATCAAGAGAAGCCTCTTGTTCTGTAGCCTATCTCCAGTCTGGGGATTTTCACCACACTGGGAAGCACGCGTGCTTTGCCAAAGCTGATCACCACCAGCTCTGAATGCAGGGCATGAGTCAGTCACCACCCCTCAACACCTGTTAGCATAACAAAATGCTCAGAAGTGCATTTCTGGTGCTACATTGCGTAGTCCCACTACCCATCACCAGGAACAAGCATTCCAAAAAGCACTCTCTCAGCTTCATATGAAGGCTATGTGTGTCATTCCCATAGGTGAAATACGGAGTTTTTCCTTCATAAAGAGGGATTACTCACAACTAGGAGAGGTATCTTTCAGTAGGACAGTGCTGGAACACAAGCCCTCAGTGCTCTTACAAAACCTTTCAGTTTTAACATCAGTTAAAATAGGAAACACACAATTAACACCATCTGCTAGGATCTGGCTTTACCAATATTTTTTTAAATAAACAGGTAAAAGACAATGTCTGCTCTGCCAATGTATCTACTACACAATTAAACTACGTTTATTTACTTTATTTTAAAACTGCTTTCAAATAGTTCAATTGGGTTCCCCCCTTTATCTTGCTTTAGAAAAAAATAGAGAATATCCATTCTCATCTCACCTTTGCCAAAATTACAATGTTACTAATTTCTAGCATATCTACCCTATTTTTTCTAAGATAAGAATCTACCTCATCACTTTCACTATACCCTTTTGTAAGATAGGGGGTTCTCCACAAAATATTCAGTGAGTAGATCAAGGATCATTTACACAATAGCACAGTGATGTTGACTGAATCATAGGAAGCATGATGTCCCTCTACCAAAAAGCCATTTTGACTCTTCTCAGTTTATCATTGACCAGTATGTCTACTGCAAGTAAACCAGTTCAGCACACACCACAGTAAGCAGTTTCGCAATTTCAGTTTCAGTTTATGCAACCCTGTAGAACACTGTTTGATTACTGTTTCAGATACTGGTCTTATTCTTTTGCATTTTTTGTTTTAAACTTAGATCTGAGACAATTCCTCCAACTCACCCTTTAGTAAGTTCCCCTGTAATGAACTCCACTGCAAGTAAGCAAGCACTTCATTTTTTTACTGTGTTATTACGTACACTGAGCAAAAAGCGTCCTTTCATATCTCCATTACTAGTCAGCTCCATAGATTTTTTAGGAGGCTTCCTTCTCAGCTTTGTTTAAAAAGGATGGTATTGACCTTTCTTAAAAATACTGTGTTGGTAGCTGCAAAAATATGTTTTCTTATAGGTGGTATTTTGGGGGACATCTTATACATGTACTGTTCTGAGTTTTCCCT